GTCGTGTGGGTCCTACTTATAGACAATGCGAACACTTTTATTTAAATAGCAATACCAGAGCCGCAGTCATCGATACCTCTTCTATCATTGTAAACGGCACTCAAATGTGGACAGTCCCTCAAACGGGATACTATACGTGAGTTTATGTTCATTTATACACGTTTATATTTTATATTTATTCAAATACGATAACTAAAGTCTTATTTGCAAACTTTATAATATTTTTATTAATTTTAATATTAATATTTATAGTTGATAAAATGAATAATTACTTTTCTATTAAAGTGTCTACAGAATTTTTTGAATTAAAGTATTATAGAATATACAGTAATTTGTTTAATTTATTAATTAATTTTGTTTTTATCAAATAAAATAAATTTGTTTAATGAGATGCTTGTTTTTCTAAGAGTTAATTAATTACATTTTTATTATATTTGCTTTATACTACAGGTTTAGGTTATAAACGGTAGTGTTTGAATTAAGTAAGAATGTGTATTGATTTTAATTAATATTTAATTTTATGAACATTTGGTATTATTGTATATTGATATATTATACAATATTTATTTTACCGTATATTCTGTCTTACTATATTTTTATTTTTAATCACAAAAGCATGCATATGGTTTACCAAATCATTTCCATTATATTTTTTATAAAATGTTTTAAATTATTGATTTCTGTATTAAAGACGATTTCTATAATGATACCAATGTAAGGAGATTGCTTCTTATAAAATATAAATTTACTACAACATATTATTCACTATTATGCTATTTTTAGTGCAAATAATTATTTAGAGATATCTCATACGTTATATTCTGTAATGAATTTTGTCATATTTTTACTCTACGGATATATTCGTTGATTAAATCTTTGGTTTTTGCAAGATTGATATTAGTTTTTATTTTAAGAATATGATATTATTTATATCCTTATATTATAAGGCTTATTCTATATTTTTACCTATAAAAATAGAAATGCACTCCAGAATATTCTACTGGCTTAATTTAAAGTGCTCTTATTATTTGAAGTATTTAATAATATATAAATAATAAAATTATTTTTTGTTGAAGCATACTTTTTGGTAAATAATTTTACTATAATATAATAAATACAATATAAATATGGTAAACAATATTTTAACATTATAGCTATTAAGATTATTGATCAGAATCTTTACTATTATTTGAACATGTGTAAGATTGACTTGTAATGATTTGATGTATAAGCAAAATCATCTACACTTAGAAATGGTGCTGACATATCTTTATTGAGATATCGAAAGGCAAATGATTTATAACTGTTTAAAATCTTTTTCTTTCATAAGCTTTTCATATGAAAGTACAAAATTTCAAAATAATAATAATAATTCACTTATGGATACTATATATTTATTAATTTTATGAAATTATATTTTAAATAGATTATAAAATATTGAGGTATAATAGATGATAACTTGTATGTCTAAATGAACACAATTTCTACTAGAATATTCGCGAGAGGTGCTAAGGGTGGACATGGATTAAATGTAAATAGCAGCGGAGGAAATGGTGCTTTAGTCCGATCTGTCTTTAAGTTTCAAGAGGGGGACACTATTTTTAGTATCATTGGACAGACCGGGTCTGATGCCTGTGGCAGAAGTGACTTAATCCCAAATGTAATTGAAAATTATGATACTCATTTTATTCTCTTATTTGATTATTTTATACTGAAAAGATACTCATGACAATTTTGCACTTTTAGTTAAAAAGTAAATGTTTGGCTAAAATTAGTCAAACAGCACACGATCCCGACATTAGGAAAAATGTGGCCGATATTAGGAATGAAATTAAAAATGTTGATAAAACTATAGGCGGTGCGGGTGGTGGTGGGGGCGGCACTTATGGTAAATAATTGTGAACTCATTTTTTGGAATAAGTATTAATATTCATATGATTTTGTTTATAGTTTTCAAAATAGAAGATCAAAATTTGGTTCCACTTATAATAGCCGGTTTGTGTTACTTATTGACTTATTTTGATAATATTGTTTACCAAATAAAGTATAATCATTGAAATTAAATAATTGAATTAAGGGGGAGGCGGAGGAGGGGGCAGTTCCGATGGCCCATCGTTTTCACATTCAATTGAAGGTTGTTTGCGCTTTTCATAATTTATATAAGTTATTACTATTTAGACATTTAACAAACTCCATTTAGGTAGTTAGACATTGTTAACAACTAATCAATTATTTATTATAGTGATTTATTAATAATTTAACAAGTTCATAAATTTCTATTTATTAATTATTCAATTTGTATTATCTAGTCATATACTGTACATTATATAAAAATTTACACATTAATACATAACTATTAAACATTACAATTAAATAAGATATTGTGTTTTTAAAATTATCNAAATTTCTATTTATTAATTATTCAATTTGTATTATCTAGTCATATACTGTACATTATATAAAAATTTACACATTAATACATAACTATTAAACATTACAATTAAATAAGATATTGTGTTTTTAAAATTATCATTACGACAGTACAATATATTCATTAATAGTTCAGATATAAATACACTATAGAATAGAGATATAACTTTTATTCAGTTTAATAGTTATTGTGTTTAAATTATAAATTTTAGGACAAAAAGGACGGGGATTTGAAAATTTAGTGAATACTAGGGGTTCAGTAGGAAGTGGCAGTGAGTCTGGCGGCGGATGGTTTTCGGACCCTTTAATCCAAAGACTCACTTCCGGCTCTTCATTATTAAGCGGTTCTGAAGGCGGATATGTCTGCAATCAAACCCACGATTGGGGGACGAATGGGGGTTATGGCGGGGGCGGTGGCGGTTGTATTAGCGGGGGTGGAGGTAGTAGACACACAATTTATAATATATAATTAAAATGTAATGTATTGTAAATAATATGTAAAGGCGGCGGATACCAAGGTGGGGACTCTTACGATGGAGGCCGAGGAGGACAAGGGGGCACTTCTTACGTGAGGAAAGGGTTGTCTTATTTGCCACTTTCCAGTGTAAGAGATATGCGAAAAGTAAACGATAATCAAAGAGATGGTTTGGTCGTTATATTTCCTCAAATTGAAAAGTGCTGTAACGATGGCCTATATCCATGTGTTGTGACGGGACAGTCAGCCAGTGGTCAACTCATCACTTATTGTGTTTGTCCGCACAATACGTTTGAATTATACGAATGTATGAATGAGTACTAAATTAAGTGAATTAGTATTATTAGTCTATTTAATGATTTGGTTCATCATTGAATCAAACAATACCAACATTTATTGTCATAATTTTCAATTCTGTCCTAGCTAATATAAAATATTCTCATTATTAGGTTCAACTTTGCCATCATTGTCCTTAATTATTATTTTTGTGGCAATTATCTTATTTGTCATTCTTTTGGCAATATTTGGTACAATTGCCGGTCAGTTGACTTGAGTTATAAAAAATTAAAAGTTATTAAAAATCATTGATAATGTATCCAAATAGTGATGAGATATCGAAAGTCTTGTAACAGTAATAACCGGACGGGTGGTGAAAGGAATGGTAGAGATGCCAGTGCTTCGCAACTACTGTCCAGCAGTTCAACTGATGTGCAATTGAGTCGTTTAAGACACGGACACATCATCACTGAATACAATCCCAACTACGAGTTCGGGGGGTCGACCTGTACTTTGCAAGACCTGAGAGAAGTTCCGCGAGAAAAGCTCACTCTTATTAAGTATTTGAAACACTAATTGTTAAGACAATTGTATCCAATTATTCACATCATGTTCTTCATAATCATCAGAGCCTTAGGCCAGGGTGCTTTTGGTGAAGTATACCAAGGATTTCTACATAATATGCCGGGAGAGATCACCGATGAATTGCCAGTTGCTGTCAAGACTTTGCCAGAATATTCAGCCAATAACCAAGCAGAAATGGACTTCCTAATGGAAGCGCTGATAATGTCTAAATTTAAACACAGAAATATAGTCCGATTTATTGGAGTTTGTTTTGAAAAGATGCCCCGTTTTATAGTCCTGGAACTCCTGCCCGGAGGTGATCTCAAGACATTCCTTCGTGAATCCCGTGCAACAGCTAATAAATCCTCGCCACTGGTTATGGGAGACATTCTTGTCATTGCTTTAGGTATTTTTAACAACTCTATTAATATATGATATTTTAACTGTGGTTTCAAATTACTTATTAAAGACATAGCACTGGGCTGTCAATATTTGGAAGAAAACCATTTCATCCACAGAGACATTGCGGCCCGAAATTGTCTCCTCAGCAGCAAAACTAAATCTCAAATGTCTGCTAATATTAATAATATGAACCCTTTGTTTAATATAACCAATTATAGCAATGGCTTTAATAACAGTGGAATTGTTGTTAAGATCGCTGATTTTGGTAAACATTTTCTGAAGCAATGTATTCATTCGTTATTCTAATACTGTGTTTATATTTATTTATTATAGGAATGGCCAGGTATATAATTATAAATGATTAACTGGACGAAATAGTGATAAATATGACAATTTTAAAATTTATTGAAAATATAGAGACATTTATAGAGCCGATTATTACCGAAAAGGAGGTAAAGCTATGCTTCCGGTGAAATGGATGCCTCCCGAAGCCTTCTTAGATGGTATCTTCACGTCTAAAACTGACGGTTAGTTAGGAATACTATCATAAAGTTGTTGGTTTACAATTAAGTTATATTCATATTGAATTATAGTTTGGAGTTTTGGTGTTTTGCTTTGGGAAGTGATGTCAATGGGATATATGCCATATCCAGGCCGTGGCAATCAAGAGGTGATGCAAATGGTAACAGCAGGCGGTCGTCTGGAGGCACCCAACCCATCGACACCCCCTCAAGTATACGCTATTATGACTCAATGCTGGAACCCTGCGCCCGACGGCCGACCATCCTTTGCCACAATCATTGAAAGAATCGGATATTGTTTGCAAGACCCGGACGTTTTAAATTTAAAGTTACCTATCTTTCAAAGGGCACCTTCAATGGAAAGAGATGTAAGTGTCTTATCATTCACTAATCCTAAGTCGCTTTAATGATAAGCAAAGATAATTCAACAAGATAATTCACTACTCATATGATTTATTCATTTCAACGCAAGCTTTGCATAATTTGCAAATTTTTTAATTCAATTCAAACTTGAAAATTAATGCAATTATTTATATTATCGTCTAAATATATTCTTTGTCTAAAATTATAACCAGAATTATAATTTATTTTATTAATATATAATGATTTCATTGGTAAAGCATTCAATAATTAACTCATTAATGAATGAATTGATTTTCGACTCGCAGATGACTTTAATGCGTCCGCCGCCCGACGCAACCGACTATTTAGTGCCAAACAATCCCTGTTCTAACTCTAACTCCAACTATAGTATGAGTACTGAAAAAACTGAATTACTATCCCCTGACACGTGCTCCACATTCAGCTGTTCTAACGAAGACAATAAATTACTGGAACTGTTGGATGACGTCAACCCTCCAGTAGTACCGCCGCGAGCCGACAATTGGAGAGAAACTAGTTTTTCTGACCGTAACTCAAATCAGAAGAATTTGATCGACTCGTCCACAGCTAGAAGTAATGGCATTAAGTCTGACCTCAGGGCCAATAACTCTGCCGCACAGCCATTGATATTAGACGCGACCGCTCTTTTACAACAGCCCTCGCGATATGTCAACGTTAGTGTCAACGACACCGTAGACGCTCTCAACCCAACCAATGCTAGAATTAATGGTCAAATCAATTGCTAAATGCATAACAAACTCAATACACCGACTTGAGTCACTTTTGAAAACTTGTATAAAATGTACATGCTACTATATTTATTTGTTCATTTCAATTGAACTCAAAACTTCATCAGAAGATTCATTACAAAAATGTCGATTAAATTGAATATTTCACAAGTTTTCGTATGTAATATTATATAAATTATATTTGCATTTATTATATTTATAATATAAAATATTAGAAAATAAGAGAATTGTTTAATATATACCTAAGAATATAAGTAATTGTGAGATTGCAAGCTCAGTTTTAAACAAAGTTGAGTGAAAGTGAATTTAAAATTATTATTTGTATAAAAAGTAAATGAAATTTACAAAATATATTTAATATAATGTTAGTGTATAGGATTTATTCCTATAAATGAAATCATGAAAAACATTTGCCAACTATTTCCACATATTATTGTTAAATTTATTATCTTAGATATGAAATGCATTTTACGCCGATTCTCAAGTTTACTCTAGTATTAGGTACCGTTTGAAAAAATATTTTATATTCAATTTATTTTCATTGATTCAA